ATTAAAGTTCATCATAACTCAAAAATTAAAAAAGATGGAGAAAAATGTTTTAGATACAAATTGTTTATAATAAACCAGTAAAACATAATCCATAAAGAAATCTTTCTCAAATATGACTACGTTCCGGTAAGATAGGAAAAATCTCCGAAATGTCAAAATTGTTGATTTTTGTGATTAAACTCGATGATATCTCAAAAATTAAAAATGATGGAGGAAAATATCTTATATAGAAATCGTTTATAATGAACCAAAATGGCATAATCCATAACCAAATATTATTTAATTATAACCATATTGTAGAGAGAAAGTAAAAATTTCCAAAATGTCAAAATTGATGGTTTTGGCAATTAAAATTCATCATAACTCAAAAATTAAAAAAAATGGAGAAAAATGTTTTAAATACAAATTGTTTATAATAAACCAGTAAAACATAATCCATAAAGAAATCTTTCTCAAATATGACTACGTTCCGGTAAGATAGGAAAAGTCTCCAAACTGGCAAAATTGTTGATTTTTGTGGTTAAACTCGATCATATCTCGAAAATTAAAAATGATGGAGGAAAATATCTTGTATAGAAATTGTTTATAATGAACCAAAATGACATAATCCATAACCAGATATTATTTAATTATAACCATGTTGTAGAGAGAAAGTGAAAATTTCCAAAATGTCCAAAATTGATGGTTTTGGCCATTAAAGTTCATCATAACTCAAAAATTAAAAAAGATGGAGAAAAATGTTTTAGATACAAATTGTTTATAATAAACCAGTAAAACATAATCCATAAAGAAATCTTTTTCAAATATGACTACGTTCCGGTAAGATAGGAAAAATCTCCAAAATGTCAAAATTGTTGATTTTTGTGATTAAACTCGATCATATCTCAAAAATTAAAAATGATGGAGGAAAATGTCTTATATAGAAATTGTTTATAATGAACCAAAATGACATAATCCATAACCAGATATTATTTAATTATAACCATGTTGTAGAGAGAAAGTGAAAATTTCCAAAATCTCCAAAATTGATGGTTTTGGCTATTAAACTTCATCATAACTCAAAAATTAAAAAAGATGGAGAAAAGTGTTTTAAATACAAATTGTTTATAATAAGCCAGTAAAAGATAATCCATAAAGAAATCTTTCTCAAATATGGCTACGTTCCGATAAGGTAGTAAAAATCACCAAACTGGAAAAATTGTTGATTTTTGTGATTAAACTCGATCATATCTCAAAAATTAAAAATGATGGAGGAAAATATCTTATATAGAAATTGTTTATAATGAACCAAAATGACATAATCCATAACCAGATATTATTTAATTATAACCATGTTGTAGAGAGAAAGTGAAAATTTCCAAAATGTCCAAAATTGATGGTTTTGGCCATTAAAGTTCATCATAACTCAAAAATTAAAAAAGATGGAGAAAAATGTTTTAGATACAAATTGTTTATAATAAACCAGTAAAACATAATCCATAAAGAAATCTTTCTCAAATATGGCTACGTTCCGATAAGGTAGTAAAAATCACCAAACTGGAAAAATTGTTGATTTTTGTGGTTAAACTCGATGATATCTCAAAAATTAAAAATGATGGAGGAAAATATCTTGTATAGAAATCGTTTATAATGAACCAAAATGGCATAATCCATAACCAAATATTATTTAATTATAACCATGTTGTAGAGAGAAAGTAAAAATTTCCAAAATGTCAAAATTGGTGGTTTTGGCAATTAAAGTTCATCATAACTCAAAAATTAAAAAAGATGGAGAAAAATGTTTTAGATACAAATTGTTTATAATAAATCAGAAAAACATAATCCATAAAGAAATCTTTCTCAAATATAACTACGTTCCGATAAGGTAGTAAAAATCACCAAACTGGAAAAATTGTTGATTTTTGTGATTAAACTCGGTGATATCTCAAAAATTAAAAATGATGGAAGAAAATATCTTACATAGAAATTGTTTATAATGCATCAAAGTGACATAATCCATAACCAAATATTATTTAATTATAACCATATTGTAGAGAGAAAGTAAAAATTTCCAAAATGTCAAAATTGATGGTTTTTGCAATTAAAATTCATNTTTTTGTATCAAATTAAAGCTAAAAGTCTATATTTTACGAATATTAACGATATCAATTTGTTGAATGATAAAATTTTGGAGATAATTCCAGAAATTAAGTACTACTTTTTTTCTTAATTTAAGATTTAGAGAAAAATAAAAAAATTTTTTTTAACCTTATTCGTATGGATTTAATAATAATTTTTATATCAAATTAAAGCTAAAAGTCTAAACTTTAAGAATATTGAAAAATATTTATATGTAAATTATAAAATTTTGGAGAAAATTCGAGAAAGGTTAAGACTAATTTTGTTATAAATTGACGTTTAAGTTAAATTTTCAAAAAATCATCCTGGGCTTAATTATTGAAATTAAATGATAATTCTTATATCAAATTAAAGCTAAAAGTCTAAAGTTTAAGAATATTGAAAAATATTTATATGTAAATTATAACATTTTTTAAATTAAAGACAACTTTTTGTCTTAACTTAACATTTAGAAAAAAATCAAAAAATCATTGAGTCCTTATTCATGGGAATTAAAGAATTATTTTTATATCAAATTAAAGCTAACAGTCTGCAACAAATGTAGTTGAACAGAATTTCTGATCAATTTAGTTTAATCTGCATTGTATTTTTCAATATTTGTGAAATAGAAAATATGGGAAAAAATATTTTTGCCATTTATAATTCGTTTCTGTAATCTTATTGATATTATTTTGGTTTTCTCTGTCATCTTTCGCACAACTATTTCATATCTCAGGATACAAAACATTTATGAATATATCTATTCCAAGCCCATACAACGTTAAATCCAACAATAAGTTAATTACAAATAAAATATTTTAACTCTTTTATAATTTAGCTTAGTAACATTTCTTAGTCATTCGACACAATCAAACTAATTCATATTCAAAGAACGTGATTGCACATAAGTATTCATATTAGCTCCTTGAAAACTCCCAACGTTTTCCTCGAGTATCCCAAGTAGCAATTTGCAATTTGCATACATATTGTGTTAATTAATTAATTCATTTAACAAATGGATTTTTTTATTATCATAATTTTCTTATGTAATAACTTAAAATAAAAAACGAAACTCAAAACGAATTTTTATAAAGAAATTGTTTCTTTCTATCATTTTTCTGTATCGATCGTCTGAATGCGTAGTTCATCGTCTCTCCGCTCCAGGCGAGAACGTCGCCACCTACCAAGACTCCTCTTTCTTTTTAAAATCTCACAAAAAGAAATTGATTGTAAACGATTCCTGTGGGATAATCCCAAATCGGTCCAACCCAAAGCAAAGATGGCTTTACGATAACCTTCATTTCTGATTGGTCGAAATGTCGTAGTTAATTACCTGGTTTTAAATTCTACCTGATAATGGGACCGCGAATGACAGAAACAGGTATATATATATATTGTTATCCTTTTTTGCTTTAAAAGAAACCAGTAGCAAAAGAACTTACCTTAATTAGTAAATTTGTATTAAAAAAAAATGGTTAAAAAAGAAATGAGTTTAAATGAGAAAACAAGAGTAATAAAAGTGTTAAACGTGTCTCTAAATAGAGTGTTACAATAACAATAAACGGTAATTAATCGTCGGTAAAAACGGTTAATTTGTTAAAACGGAATATTGTTAATCGTCATTGTGTTCGCGCGCGAGACAATGAAGTGTTATTTTACGGGCTGGTGGTTTTTACGGTGGGTTATAAAAATTAATTATCATCTATGGGATAAGATTTTTCGTTATAAAATAGCCACCGATTGCGTTTCAGCTTTATTTGCAGTAACGATGTCAAAAAATTTGCACAGAAATCGATTTCTCAAGATAAAAGTGAGTTTATTATATTGGTGAGTAAGATTTTTTAACTTTTAACATATATATTAATAAGAAATAATACAACGAAAATAAAAAACTCATCTTTATTACTTTTAATTTACATAATTAATTTTTTCTTATTTTCGATAACAAAATTAAATAAAATTCCATCTGGTAGATGGAACAGCGTCATTTTCAACTCTAATTTATTCAAATTCCGTACCATATCCGCCCGTATAGGTCGAAAATACTTTCTTTATCTTCATTTTCTCTTCATCGTTATATCTTCGACTTATTCTACGTGTTCCTTTTCACGTTCTGCTTCGAGTTCTTCTTTGAGTTCTTCTTCGATTTCTTGTGAGATTATCGAAATTAAGATGTGAATTTCATTAAAAGGAGAAAACTCGTCCCGCTTAAAATCCCATGTTTATCGTTTCTCTCTTCTCCTTAATGGTCTCCGAGTTTAAATGAAATCCTAAAAGGAAAAATATACAAAAAAGAATTTTTAGTTAAAGTATACATATTTTTTTTTAAGTTTGATTTTTTGTCTATAACAAATTTATATCCCGTAGTTTCGGGGGTGTATTACCTACAGTGATCTTTGAGGGGGAGTCTGAATCCTGATTACCTTTCATCCCTGAATACCTTTTCCCCCTTAAATCGGATAAAGGTGGGAAAGGTGTCTCTGGAAAATCCCTTCTCGAGAGAAAAAGAGAGAGAACTTGGAATCAAAGGGATTGATTTACGGGTTGACCGAACCCGGTGTCACGTCTCGGGCTAACACATCTCTGATTAACCTTGTTACAACCCCCTGGAAAAAAAAAAACACAAAAAAGTGTTAAATTTTTTTGTAATAGTAATATTTTTCTATATTTCTCGATAATTTTTTTTATATTGTTCATCTCCATGAAAATACCTTTAAAATGAGCCCAAACTCGATATATCCAAGTATTACAACACACGAGATATTAATATTTTTATAAAATCTAGATGGCCGACATTGAAACTATTCTAGCGCCATCTGTAATTATAAATTTTTATGATTTATATGAAGTGTGGTACATCAAATTAAGTTAAAATTTTCTGATTTTTACAAAACTCTTAAATTTTATGATGTTTTATGTATATTTTATATATATATATGTATATATTTTATATATATATATATATTTATTTTATATATATATTGTATTTTGTATAAATATATAATATATAAAAGTTAAAATGTAAATAATTAATGATTTTCGTTATAAAAGTTCATCATAACTTGAAAACTGAACAAGATGGAGAAAAATGTTTCAATTATAAATTGTTTATAATGATCTAAAAAGACATCATCCATAATCAGATCTTATTCAATTATAACCATACGCAAGGTAAAAAGTGGAAAGACTAACATTTTCAAAATTGATGGTTTTTGTTATTAAAATTCACCATAACTTCCAAATTAAAGGAGACGGAGAAAAATATTCTATATATAAATTGTTTATAATGAATCAAAAAGACATAATTTTTAACCAGATCTAGTTCAAAATTTGTTGTATTTTGGTTAGAAAGTGGAAATGCCCAAAATGCCAAAATTGTTGATTTTTGTTATTAAACCCGATTATATCTCGAAAATTAAAAATGATGGAGGAAAATATTTTGTATAGAAATTGTTTATAATGAACCAAAATGACATAATCCATAACCAGAATTAGCTCAAATATTATTGTATTCTGGTTAGAAAGTGAAAATCCCCAAAATGTCAAAATTGTTGATTTTTGTTATTAAACCCGATCATATCTCAAAAATTAAAAATGATGGAGAAAAATATCTTGTATAGAAATTGTTTATAATGAACCAAAATGACATAATCCATACCCAGATATTATTTAATTATAACCATGTTGTAGAGAGAAAGTGAAAATCTCCACAATGCCAAAATTGTTGATTTTTGTGATTAAATTCGATCATATCTCGAAAATTAAAAATGATGGAGGAAAATATCTTATATAGAAATTGTTTATAATGAATCAAAATGATATAATCCATAACCAGATATTATTTAATTATAACCATGTTATAGAGAGAAAGTGAAAATTTCCAAAATGTCCAAAATTAATGGTTTTGGCCATTAAAGTTCATCATAACTCAAAAATTAAAAAGGATAGAGAAAAACGTTTTAGATACAAATTGTTTATAATAAACCAGTAAAACATAATCCATAAAGAAATCTTTCTCAAATATGACTACGTTCCGGTAAGGTAGTAAAAATCACCAAACTGGAAAAATTGTTGATTTTTGTGATTAAACCCGATGATATCTCAAAAATTAAAAATGATGGAGGAAAATATCTTATATAGAAATTGTTTATAATGAACCAAAATGACATAATCCATAACCAGATATTATTTAATTATAACCATGTTGTAGAGAGAAAGTGAAAATTTCCAAAATGTCAAAATTGATGGTTTTGGCCATTAAAGTTCATCATAACTCAAAAATTAAAAAAGATGGAGAAAAATGTTTTATATACAAATTGTTTATAATAAACCAGTAAAACATAATCCATAAAGAAATCTTTCTCAAACATGACTACGTTTCTGTAAGATAGGAAAAATTCGAAAAAAATCAAAATTCACGATTTTCTTTATTAAAATTGGAGATGGAGTGAAATTTTTTGTTTATAATGATATAAAAAAAGATATATTACATAATTAGTTTCAGATACATACAATTTTTCTGTTATATGATAATCATTTATTTAAATTTTAGGGCATTATTTAATCTTTCTTTATACAATCTATAATTCTTTCTTTTTATATACTTAGTACATTACTTTCATTACTAACAGTTTTTAATTCTACAAAATGTGCTAATTAAAATTTTTGAAACAGAATTTATATATATCATAATTAAAATAGTTGAAATATCTAGATTAAAACTATAACACAAAGAATTTATTTACATTTTAGCTTATTCATCGTGAAACGTATACATTTTAAACGTTTTTTATATTTCATTTTAATTTTGTATCGACCCGGCTTCGTTCTAACTATAAAAATGCCACGCTTTCAGCGTGCTCCGCGTCCTTTAGAATAAATAACCACTTAGCGACTCGGTTGGTGGTCCAAATGCGTCCTACTTGGCACAAAAAAGAATCGCGCGATTATCATTAACAACGATCGGGTTTTAATTTTCATTCGAAATGTCACAGAAAATAAGCGAACGTTGCAACAACAAACTAAAACTTCAATTACACTAAAAGATGCTGTGAGCTTTCAAGTTTCCTCCTCCGCGTTCTCTCCATTTTCGCGATATGCACTTTATATAGGACCCGGTTTGCTGATTATACTAAAAGCTTTTGAATATCAGTGATGTAGAAAAAATTATTTTGAGGATTTAAGAATAAGAATGAGTTGAGTTAATTAACTTTTTCTTGTTAGCAAAAACGACGCAACGTTGCACGTTTCTTGAATTTACAAATAAGACGAGAAAGCGAGGTTAAAAGAAAGAAAACGCATTTCCTTGGTACACGTTGGAAAATCTCGTATTCAAAAGGGAGTGATGCAGAGAGTACGAAATAAAACTTTACAATCCACGGAAGCGAGTTGAAAATAAATTTAATTAAACTAACAGATAGCGAACGTGAAATTACAACTAGTTTCGTGGTGGTGTTGTGATATCGTTTTAGTTTTCATTTTAGTTTTTGAACACGAAAACTAAAATCGTATAGATAAGATTCATACATATATATATATAACCGGAAATACGACCGAAATCACCGAGCGGAGTCAATTTCTCCACGAAATTAGTCGTCCGACTTCCGGAATACTGGACGTGAAATTGCTGATTTCGTGTCCCTTGGTCGTACGAACTGCACGTATCTTCCTTGCTATATAAATTCGCTTTTAACCTCAGGTATACAACTCCTTTTAAACCTTGCTATTTTCAGAGGTTTTATTTTTTTAAATTATTTATTTGGATAAGAAGTAAGAAAGGGGTTTCAAGAAAATAATTGGATTATATTTAAGTCTTTTCAATTTCCACATGCCATTAATTTCTTGAAACGCAACGTTATCGGGTCGTTTATGTTATACGATTAAGTCAAGGGGCGATTATCACCTTGTAACGATCGTAAAATCGATGTATAATATTTTCAATTCGAACGATAACATTATAATCGAGAGTTCGCCTATTGTTTCAACACTCAATTTATTTTCGATACATTGTTCTCTTGTTACTTTTAATTTTCTTACACCAACGTAATCTTAGATTTCTTTATTTTTTTTTTAGTTATAAAAGAGATGTTGAATTTAGACAAAGTTAAAGTTTGTGCGGAGAATATTTTAATAACACCCGAAGCTAAAGGAAAAGAAAGTTGGTCGTCTTCTGGCAGGATTTTGAGTAATCCTCCGATTTTATCCCTTAATCTTGGAAGTTACTGCAAAAACTTTCGAGAGATTGCCGAATTAAATTAGATTAAGTTCCGTCGCTTCTTCTCGATATGAAAATCAGCGTCCTTTTTATCCCCGAAATGGCTCGGGGATCAATACTTTAAAGGAATTTATTAAAACTCCTAATTCATCATAAAAAAAATAATAATAAAAAGCTTTAACTCTTAAGTTATTATTAAAACGTGTCTTGATCCGAATCTTTTCACATCAAATATAAAATTCATGAAATTTTAAAAAAAGTATCCGATTTCAACCAAAAAATAATTAATTTTAACATCATGCATTTTCTACTCATTATTGTTATTTAAATTATTTAATTTATTTACCTAGTTCGATATCTTCTTCTTGATATGTTGTTGATGTTATGGCGTAGAGTTCTATGGCAATTAACTTGTATTATCTACTAAGATGGCGCTCTGTTATTGTCAGAGGCTAGTATGGATTGCTTCTTAAGCGCATGCGTTTCAAATTCACGCAGGCGTTTTCACACAAATATCCCCTAAAAAAACTTATATATAAGATACACCCTTTAAAAAAAATTATTTAAATTTAAAAAAAAAACAATTTATATATATATATTTTTTTATATATATATATTTTATATATTTTTGCCGTAAAAAAATGTATTTCCTTGTTTAAATTGGTAGGGGTAAGTTTTATATTCTTGTTTTTTTATTCTTTTATTAGCCTCCGCAAACAAGATTTTTTCGTTTTGCTTTTTGCCTCAATATTTTAAATTATTTTTACATCTTCAATAACAAAAATTGACACAAAAACGGAAAAAATAACACAGAAAAAAAATGGATCTCCTTCGAAAACATCTTTGATATTTTACGTCTCGACAGTAAATTTCCAATATAGATAATGCATCTGGACGATCAAAAATTGATCCAGTAATTTTATTGTAAAGGTACACATACAGGGCGAGTCGTAAAAACGTGGAGATATTTTATTAATATTACCAATATATATATATTTCATTTCTTCGTGTTTAATCACCACTTTTAATCCTTTCAATCACAACCTCAGTGTATGGCTGCAACACAAAAGCTCCAACTTCTATTCTTGCATTATATTTCATCTCATTTTCATGTTTTTTTAACGTATTGAAAGAGAAATGACTTCATTCCATGAAAGTTGATGTTGTCCAGAAACTTCAATGTCGTCAAAATCTAATTGGTGTTAATTAAAATGATTCTGATCGACTAAAAGCATCTCTAGCATTTCAGAAGTAATTTCTTTAAAAATATTAATTATAACTTTGGTATGCAAATAACTATTTAAGTTTGTGATAATTTGAAGTCATGGCTTCATCAAGTTGTCTCATAATATTAAAAACATCATTTTTTTCTGCTTAATATTAAGCCCAAAAACATTGATATAAAGATATTTCTATAAAACCTTAATTAATTGATGGACTTTAAAAATTGATATCTCAAAAATTAAAAGACATTTTTGCTGGGAATTTTTTCTATAATTTCTAATAGTTGTGCAACAATATCTTAAGAAACCGATTTTTTTAAACCGGCGGAAGATTTATTTAACTTATGAAGCAAAAAGAAATTGATTGATTAATATCTCAAAAACTAAAAGGGATTTTTAGAAGCGGTCTTTTTCATTTAAAAGTATATTAAAATTCGCTTTAAAAAGTTTCGTATTTTGTCGTTACATCTCAATTAGTTCTTGAGATACGATTTTTTAAATTTGTATTCTTAAAATCTATAACCAGCAAATATGCAGAGTTGGGTTTAAAAAATCGTAATTACGAAGTTTATGGAAATTAAAGAATTATTTATGGCATACTAAAACTATATTAAATTAGCTTTAAATTGTTTCTTATTTTATTATTATATCTCAATTCGTTCTCGAGATACGATTTTTTAAGTTTCTACTTAAAATAAATATAAATTAAATCAGGGTTGAATCGTAACGAGGAANCAAATTTGTTGATTTTTGTTATCAAACCCAATCATATCTTGAAAATTAAAAATGACGGAGGAAAATATCTTGTATAGAAATTGTTTATAATGAACCAAAATGACATAATCCATAACCAAATATTATTTAATTATAACCATATTGTAGAGAGAAAGTGAAAATTTACAAAATGTCCAAAATTGATGGTTTTGGCCATTAATGTTCATCATAACTCAAAAATTAAAAGAGGTGGAGAAAAATGTTTTAGATACAAATTGTTTATAATAAACCAGTAAAACATAATCCATAAAGAAATCTTTCTCAAATATGACTACGTTCCGGTAAGATAGGAAAAATCTCCAAAATGTCAAAATTGTTGATTTTTGTGATTAAATCCGATGATATCTCAAAAATTAAAAATGATGGAGGAAAATGTCTTATATAGAAATTGTTTATAATGAACCAAAATGACATAATCCATAACCAGATATTATTTAATTATAATCATGTTGTAGAGAGAAAGTAAAAATTTCCAAAATCTCCAAAATTGATGGTTTTGGCAATTAAAGTTCATCATAACTCAAAAATTAAAAAAGATGGAGAAAAATGTTTTAAATACAAATTGTTTATAATAAACCAGTAAAACATAATCCATAAAGAAATCTTTCTCAAATATGACTACGTTCCGGTAAGGTAGTAAAAATCATCAAACTGGCAAAATTGTTGATTTTTGTGATTAAACCCGATGATATCTCAAAAATTAAAAATGGTGGAGGAAAATATCTTGTATAGAAGTTGTTTATAATGAACCAAAATGACATAATCCATAACCAGATATTATTTAATTATAATCATGTTGTAGAAAGAAAGTAAAAATTTCCAAAATCTCCAAAATTGATGATTTTGGCAATTAAAGTTCATCATAACTCAAAAATTAAAAAAGATGGAGAAAAATGTTTTAGATACAAATTGTTTATAATGAACCAAAAAGACTTTATTCATAACCAGAATTAGCTCAAATATTATTGTATTCTAGTTAGAAAGTGAAAATGCCCAAAATATCAAAATTGTTGATTTTTGTTACCAAACCCAATCATATCTTGAAAATTAAAAATGATGGAGGAAAATATCTTATATAGAAATTGTTTATAATGAACCAAAATGACATAATCCATAACCAGATATTATTTAATTATAACCATGTTGTAGAGAGAAAGTGAAAATTTCCAAAATGTCCAAAATTGATGGTTTTGGCCATTAAAGTTCATCATAACTCAAAAATTAAAAAGGATGGAGAAAAATGTTTTAGATACAAATTGTTTATAATAAACCAGTAAAACATAATACATAAAGAAATCTTTCTCAAATATGGCTACGTTCCGATAAGGTAGTAAAAATCTCCAAAATGTCAAAATTGTTGATTTTTGTGGTTAAACCCGATGATATTTCAAAAATTAAAAATGATGGAGGAAAATATCTTATATAGAAATTGTTTATAATGAACCAAAATGACATAATCCATAACCAGATATTATTTAATTACAACNTAAAGAATTATTTATGGCATACTAAAACTATATTAAATTAGCTTTAAATTGTTTCTTATTTTATTATTATATCTCAATTCGTTCTCGAGATACGATTTTTTAAGTTTCTACTTAAAATAAATATAAATTAAATCAGGGTTGAATCGTAACGAGGAAGTTTATGAAAATCCAAAAATTATTTATGCTACACCAAATCTATATTAAATTTGCTATAAATTGTTTTTTACTTCATTATTATATCTCAATTCGTTTTCGAGATACAATTTTTTAAGTTTTTACTTACAACAATATATATATTAAAACAGGATTGAGTTTAAAAAATCGTAAAAATGAAATTTATGAAAATCAAAAAATTATTTATAGCATACTAAAACTATATTAAATTAGCTTTAAATTGTTTCTTATTTTATTATTATATCTCAATTCGTTCTCGAGATACGATTTTTTAAGTTTTTACTTAAAATAAATATAAATTAAATCAGGGTTGAGTTTAAAAAATCATAACAACGAAGTTTATGGAAATCAACAAATTATTTATGGTATACCAAATCTACATTAAATTAGCTTTAAAATGTTTCTTATTTCATTATTACATCTCAATTCGTTCTCGAGATACGATTTGTTAAGTTTTTACTTGAAAAAATATATATATTAAAACATGATTGATTTTAAAAAATCGTAATAACGAAGTTTATGATAATCAAAAAATTATTTATGGTATACCAAATCTATATTAAATTTGATATAAATTGTTTCTTATTTCATTATTATATCTCAATTCGTTTTCGAGATACGATTTGTTAAGTTTTTACTTAAAAAAATATGTACATTAAAACAGAATTGAGGTTAAAAAATCGTAGCTACGAAGTTTATGGAAATCAAAAAATTATTTATGGCATACCAAATCTATATTAAAATAGTTTTAAAATGTTTTTTATTTCATTGTTACATCTCAATTCGTTTTCGAGATACGATTTTTTAAATTTTTACTTAAAAAAATATATACATTAAAACATGATTGATTTTAAAAAATCGTAACAACGAAGTTTATGATAATCAAAAAATTATTTATGGCATACCAAATCTATACTAAATTAGCTTTAAATTGTTTCTTATTTCATTATTACATCTCAATTCGTTTTCGAGATACGATTTTTTAAGTTTTTACTTAAAAAAATATATACATTAAAACATGATTGATTTTAAAAAATCGTAACAACGAAGTTTATGATAATCAAAAAATTATTTATGGCATACCAAATCTATACTAAATTAGCTTTAAATTGTTTCTTATTTCATTATTACATCCCAAATCGTTGGCGAGATACGACTTTTTAAGTTTTTACTTAAAAAAATATATATATTAAAACAGGATTGAGGTTAAGAAATCGTAACTACGAAGTTTATAGAAATCAAAAAATTATTTATGGCATACCAAATCTATATTAAATTAGCTTTAAAATGTTTCTTATTTCACTATTACATCTCAATTCGTTCTCGAGATACGATTTGTTAAGTTTTTACTTTAAAAAATATGTACATTTAAACAGGATTTAGTTTAAGAAATCGTAACAATGAAGTTTCTGGAAATCAAAAAATTATTTATGGCATACCAAATCTATATTAAATTAGCTATAAATTGTTTCTTATTTCATTATTACATCCCAAATCGTTGGCGAGATACGACTTTTTAAGTTTTTACTTAAAAAAATATATACATTAAAACATGATTGATTTTAAAAAATTGTAACAACGAAGTTTATGATAATCAAAAAATTATTTATGGCATACCAAATCTATACTAAATTAGCTTTAAATTGTTTCTTATTTCATTATTACATCCCAAATCGTTGGCGAGATACGACTTTTTAAGTTTTTACTTAAAAAAATATATACATTAAAACATGATTGATTTTAAAAAATTGTAACAACGAAGTTTATGATAATCAAAAAATTATTTATGGCATACCAAATCTATACTAAATTAGCTTTAAATTGTTTCTTATTTCAT